AGGCGCGTGCCTGGGTTGCGAGCTCACAGCCTGGTCCTATCATAGGTCGATACTTGACCACTGAGCAACACTTGCTGGGCTCAGCAACCATTTAATCACTTGGGTTTAGAAAGGTAGACAACTGAGCAGTCAGGAGTTAAGATCACAGAATTAGAACCAGGCAGACTTGACTGTGAACCTCTTCTCTGCCCTTTAAATGGCTGCATAACCTTGGATGCATTATAAGAATCACACTCTTTTATATCAGCTCTAGATGACTTAATGCTTTGCATCTGTTTCCTCACTTAAAAAAATGAGTCAGGAGGTGATGAGAGTTAATGATATAATATGTCAGGTACATACTCCAGGGGCAGAGATAGTGATTATTAAGTTATGACTCAACAAATATTTGAGTAAGCCTAATACTATGTTAAATAAAATGGAGAGAAAAGTAAATATGACTTGCTATAGATAAGGAGATGAAACAAATCCACAAAAAAGGAAAATTCCCAATGCAAATAAAAACATAGGAATGTACGTAGTTTAATAATAAACACTATAGAAGTAAGAAACCCCTGTGGGCAGGAAAGGTCAGAGACAGATGTGAGATTTGAGCTGGACCTTAGAATACCTTCATGGTCAGATTGGTGGGACTCAAATGTGGTTTGCAGGCTTGCTCTGGAATAGAAATCAACTACATTGCTGAATACGTTGTTCATCAGACTTTTTTTTTTTCACAAGACTTTCTCAATGGATGCAGCAGTGATTACATTCTGCCTCAAACTCCTCATCTTGCTATGGAGTATAACGGATAATTTTCAAATCACCACCTTTGAGTAGCATTAATTTACAAAAGAGGTCAACAACCTTTCTATGAATGGCCAGATAGTAAATATTTTAGGGTTTGTGGGCCACATGGACTCTGTTGCAACTATGTAACTCTGAGGTTATAACAAACAAACGAACAAACAAAAACAGCTATTACATTAGCATGACCATATATGGCTCACAGGCCATTCCTTGCCAACCCTTGGCTAAGATGACAAGGAAGGGGGCAGGGTCTTCTAGGAAAGAACATGAGCTCGAGCTGGTACTGACACAGTAACCCTGGGTAAGTCACATACAAATAGTAGGCAGGGCAGCTCAAGCTCAGGGGATGTAATCCATCACTCCAAAAAGAAGGAATTAAAATCTTGGTAGCAGATGAGACCTAGGTTTGGGACTTAGTCAAATGCCAATCCCAGGGCATCACTTTTTTAGGCCAGGAACAACTCTGACAGGAACCAGCAATTCTTAGGTTCAGGCAAGGAGATGAGCCAGGAGAGCCAGAGTGAATAGATAGCTAAGGAGGGGCCAATGTCTCCGGGAGAACTGTCAGATAAAAATAAAACAACGTAAAACTGTACATCTCCTCTTGCTAAGCCCTTTACACTATGAAAAGGCAGGTGCTTTGGGACTGAGCTAAGCTCTTCATGCCTACCCAGAACATGTAGTAATTGGGTATATACACGTGCATTTGTGCAAAGCATTCCGCACAGAGACAATCAATTATTTATCAAATGGACAAATTCATTACCTCTAAGCCCACAGGACAATGCCTAATTTGTCTGCCATTAGCAAATGACTCCTTGCTGTTAATCTAGCCAGATATCTATTATCCATCCATTCTTCCACACTCACTCAGCAAGTCACTATTATGGATACAGATTTTGGTCCCACACTCAAAGAGTCAATGCTGAGGCAAGAATCCCAGGAAATAAAAGACATCAGAGGCATAAGGGGAGCCTAAAACCCTCACAAAGTATGCAGAAAGGCAGCACAGGAGTTATGCAAAGACGAGCTGTGGCTTTGTTGGGGTCCTAGCTAGACCTGGCAGGAACTGTACATTCAGACTTCATATCCAAGAGACCAGGGCTTGCTGGCTCCCAGTGCCCTAGTTTCCTCCTCTTATCCTCCACCCACCATGGGAAGAGACTGAACTGAATGGCAGTCTTGCCGGAAGGCTGCTGTAGAGGCTGTGACACGGTCTGTGGCCTTTCTTTTCAGGCAAAGGAACTTGGTCAGTGGGAATTTTGCAGCAGGCCCAACTTTGCAGATAAAATTGTTCTTCACAATTAGAGAATCCCGTGTTTTTATATTAAGTTCCATTTATATGTGTTGGGCCGGGGAGGGGGTGTATGTCTCAGGGGGAAATGATGTACCGTATTTTTCGGACCATAAGACACACTTTTTTCCCCCCAGAAGTGGGGGGGAAAAGTCCCTGCGTCTTATGGTCCAAATATAGCCTACACATATACTTTAAAAAAAAAGTTTTTTTACTTGCCCGGCTCTGTGTGGTCTCTGTGTGCTTGCCCGGCTCTAAAATGGTTCTAAATGCTGCTGTTTACTTTACAGGGTTGATTACATGTGTTTATGACTGTGATGTTGGGTTTTAATGCACATAAAATATTTTAGGACACTATTTGTTTCAGAATCTTTTTTTCTTCATTTCCCTTCTCTAAAAACTGGTGCGTCTTATGGTCCGGAGCGTCTTATGGTCCGAAAAATACGGTATATTGTTGCCTGGTTCATATTTATGACTAACCAGGGTCTCTTTACCTGGAGTCAATGGATGGGGGTATAAGAGGGTTTGTAAACCTGCAAATATTTTTGTACAGAGTTGGAAAAACAGGCTGCAGAGCCTTCACCAGATTCTCCAGGAGACCTGAGACCTCCGGGAGACCAGGAATCCTGGCTCCAGGAGGACTTGGCTAGTGATTGTGCAACCGTCTTCCTGATCTCATTTCATAATGCCCCAGGCCTTGGCTGCTGCCAAGATGCCCTGGCCTGCTGCCAGAGGAGGCAGGCTCTTGTCTGAGTGCATTCTGCCACCTACAGCACAGCAAAACCACCAGCTCCACAGCGGGACACTGAGGGCTCTGCATATGTGAGAAAGGGGAGAACTGCCCTCCACCCCTTACCCCTATGCCAGAACCCTCCACTGGGAGGAGAGGATTGTGGATTCCTGATTAGTATTCAGAGATGTCAATTCCTTTGGGCTGGGTTAGAGCCATGGAGAGATATTTTTACATTAAAGGAGAAAGAATAAATCCTTGGGATTAGCATCTGAAAGGAAAGTGTTGCCCCAAAGCCAGAGAGGAAAGACCCCGGGAACAAGAAAGATTTGTGAGCTCATGGGTTCTCAGAATACTAAATGTGGCTCTCCCATTTCCTAATGCTCCTAGGTCTTGAGACCTGTGAAGTGTAAACACTGGATAGTATTTGTTCTTGGTGGGCTTACGTCTTGCAAAGGGAGCTTGGCACATTTGAAGGACAGAGATTGTGTTGGTCTCATCGTTGTGTCCCTGCCCCTAACAGAATGCCTGACACTTGGGAGGAAGTTCAGTGAATGGTTTGACTTCAGTAGTATAAATGGAGTTTGTTTTGTAATCAGTGCTGTGCTTACAAATACATAATCCTAATGTTTGCTATTTGTTGGACATATCTCAAATTCTCACAACAACATCAAGGTGGGGATTGTTTTGCAGGTGAAACTGACACCCAGCCCTAGTGGGTGGTCACCCAAAGACACACACCTCATGACAGAGTCAAAATCTACACGGAGACCTCTCGGCTTCCCAGTCCATGGGCGTTCCACTCCACCCTAGAGCTTTCTATCCATCATTAGCTCCTAAGGAAACGGTTTAGAAACTTTTTTAAATTTTGTTTGTTTTTCATTTTAAAAAATATGTGTTCCCAATCCTTAGACTTTCTCTCGGAAAGTGTTTCTTATTCTCCTAGATTAGATGCAAACCTTGGCTGACCCTGTCTGAATCTAGGAGTGGTTCTTCTTGGATGGACAATCCATCCTAGCTTGATTTGTAGAGGTGACTGTGGAATCTTTCACTCTGTTTGGTTCCAGTGTCAGTGGCTGGGGGAGAAGTAACTTCATATTCAAGGTGAAATGGCGCTAAGCAGGAAGAGGGAGGAAGAACTCCAGGGAGAGGGAATCCAGCAGAAAAAAAGCAATGGGGCCTCTAAGGCAGTGTTCAAGGTGAAGAATGGCAGAAGGGGAAGGAGTAGAGAGGGCCAATGAGTATGGGGATTGCAGGTGTGTCTTTCCTAAAATGTGGTTCTTCCACATGGGCGGGCGCATTGCCAATGTTTGTATCACTCCATCTCAGCAGCTACGGAGGCCTCATGACAAGTCCTGGTCTCTCTCCTCTTAGATACTCTCAATGCAGTGGTATTCCAATAAGCTTCCAACTGAGAAGGAATTCAGAAAGTCCAAGGCAGTCGAAATGGATTTACCTCCTTGTTTCACTCATTAATCTTTGTCATCAGATATCTTGGACTAGAGGAAAGCTGAAAAAAATCTAACCAGAGGGGACCAGGCATGTGTGCAGAACCACCGAGAAAGCTGCCACCCTGAACAAATGCCAGCACATGTTACTGGCATTCCCGTCATGTGTAAAATACAAATGAGCGCATGAAGAAATTAGTACTCATCACGGGCCTTTGTAAGGATTAGGATCAAAAACAGGATCTGTGGTTGCCATTGTATTCTTTCTCATTTCAAAGATGGCTCTCACTGCCACATAATCTCCATAAACTAGCATTGTCACTCACACTGGGTGGTTTTACAAACAGGGACAGCAACAGAGTAGAAATCGGAGCCTGCTGTGCTACAAGGCAGAGAGCTTTTTTCTTTAACAGGAGAGAATCACTTGATTTCAGAATAGAATTGCCTATATCCTTCAACTGTCTGGACAGACTGTGTGTGTGTGTGTGTGTGTGTGTGTGTGTGTGTGTGTGTATCACATTCAACTATGATGTGACATTATAAATGCTAGTAAATTAAGTGGGTTTTATCAAATGTTGGCAATGTTTCTTTTCCTCCAAATGTGTACAGAGAAAATTAAAACCAGGGGGAGAAACGAAAAGTACCCTTAAGCTTCCTAATTGATTCCAGCTGCTCACATTATTTACTGCAAATAATATTATCAAGTAGTGAAATGCCCATGCCTTTGAACTTCTTGCAGTTGTGTGTAATACTGGAGCCAATGCAGGAACTGATGTCGAGACATAAAACTTACAACCTCAGTCCACGAGACTGCCTGAAGACCTGCCTGTTCCAGAAGTGGCAGCGAATGGTGGCACCGCCAGGTATGACCTCGTTCTCCACTCTTCCACTAACTGTATTTTCCATGGCTTCTGCTGAGGGTGAGAAGATGTGAAAAGGAAGGGAGTGAGTGTACATTTATCAGGGAAGGGGTTTACTAGGGATATTCTGACCATGATTTTGGACTTAGAAGCATTAAATTGGTGAAGGGCAAACATGCTTAGGAGTTGGCCACCATCTACTCATTTGCCAGACTAGGACTTGAGACCCAGAGAGGTAAACTGATTTATTTACTGTTACTGAGATCTTTGGCAACACTGAAATCAGATCCCAGGGTTCCTGGCTCTCAATTCAGTAGTTGTTCCACTGGATAAGACTGCGGGTTTCTCATGGCCTACTGTTGTGCTGGTACTTTTTTTATGAAATGACAGAAATTATAAAATATGGAGGGAGGCCCTCCCAGCATGGCTCAGGGCTTGCGGATCAACCTATGAACCAGGAGGTCACAGATCTATTCCTGGTCAGGGCACATGCCTTGGTTGCTAGCTCCATCCCCAATGTGGGGCATGCAGGAGGCAGCCTATCTATGATTCTCTCTCATCATTGATGTTTCTATCTCTCTCCCTCTTCCTTCCTCTCTGCAATCAATAAAAATACATCTAAAAAGTAAAATTAAAATGGAGGGAGGGAGGAAGAAGAGAAGGAAGGAAATATTTTTTCTGTTTTAAGGGTTCTCTGACCATGAAGAGAATACATGAAAGAGTCCATTCCCCTCACAGCCCTTGAATGCAGTGGAGATAATAGAGTCTCCTGCTGGGATTCTGAAATTACTGCTTCAAGTCATCATTCATTGTCTTACTATCTGATATATTTTCACTCCCAGGCATGTGTTCAGCCTCATTAATTATAAAAGCAAAATGTATCCATTTGCTAAAAATTATTTTTAAAGAATTATTATTAATACAAGGCATATAGCTTTCTGAATCACAAAATATAATGGTCAGCTTCCACTGGTAATTGGCCAAGGGTTTTATATAAATGAACATAGATATAACTATGCACATATTCAAGAAGCTGAGAAAATGAGCATTATTTTACAAAGAATAGTTGCATCCCCATCTTGGAGAATTTTACAGATTTAGAACATTAATCTTTTTTTAATATATTTTATTGATTTTTACAGAGAGGAAGGGAGAGAGACAGAGAGCTAGAAACATCTATGAGAGAGAAATATCGACCAGCTGCCTCTTGCACACCCCCTACTGGGGATGTGCCCGCAACCAACGTACATGCCCCTGACCGAAATCAAACCTGGGACCTTTCAGTCTGCAGACCGAAGCTCTACCACTGAGCCAAACCGGTTTCTGCTAGAACATTAATTTTTTAAAAATATATTTTTATTGACTTCAGAGAAAGGGAGAGGGAGAGAAAAATTGAAACATCAATGATGAGACAGAATCATTGATTGGCTGCCTCTTGCACACCCCACACTGGATATTGAGCCTCCAACCCATTCATGTGCCCTGACTGGGAACTGAACTGAGACTTCCTCATAGGTCGACACTCAACCACTGAGCCACGCTGGCTGGGCTAAAATATTAATTTTTTAATATATGACATGAGCTTCAATTGGCCTCATTTTTTTTTTCTTTCGGTACCAATAAGCCTTTATGGAAAAAAATATATATATTCCACTCACTTAATTTTTTAAAGTGTATTTTATTGATTTTTTTTTTTTTTTTACAGAGAGGAAGGGAGAGGAATAGAGTTAGAAACATCAATGAGAGAGAAACATCGATCAGCTGCCTCCTGCACACCCCCTATTGGGGATGTGCCTGCAAACAAGGTACATGCCCTTGACTGGAATCAAACCCAGGACCCTTCATTCTGCAGGCCAATGCTCTATCCACTGAGCCAAACTGGTCAGGGCTACTTACTTAATGTTTTGAGCATCTATATTTTCCAACATATGCATATATACCTTTATATTATACATTAATTCAGTCATTTATTCAACAACTACAGGCCCAGTACATGACATTCGTGCACTGGGGGGAGGGGCGGAGGGAGGGGGCCCGGGAGGTGGAGGTGTCCATCAGACTGCCTACACCCTCTTGCAATCTGGGACCCCTCAGTAGGGGTGTCGAACTCAATCAGAAGGGGCCAAAATCTAAAATCCAGCCTAAATCGCGGGCCGAATGGTTTACTGAACAGTCATAAACTGTCATTGTGATGGAAACGCAGCAGAGTGCAGTGATGACAGTGCTGTGCGGGCCACATTGCAAGGCCTGGCGGGACGGATTTGGCCCACGGGCCTTGTGTTTGACACATGTGCCTCAGGGGATGTCTACCAAGGGGTCCTTAGCCCCGCAGTGGAGGCTGAAGAGGCTCCCACTATCACCTATGTGCTTGCCAGCTATGAGCCTGGCTTCTGACTGAGCAGTGCTCCCCCACTGACCACCATAGGGCAGCTCCTGTGTTGAGCGTCTGCCCCCTGGTGATCAGTGTGCATCATATCAACTGGTCATTCTGCTATTTGGTCAATTTGTAAATTAGCCTATATATATATAATCATATTCATATATAGTCCTAGTCCCAGCCCTCACAGACCTTCTACTGAATCCTCACCTTATAACCTTATGAGGTATTTATTGTTATTCCCATTGTATATAATGAGATGTGGGGTGTAAGTTTGCCAAAATCAGTTTCATAATTAATCAGTGAAGGAGGGCTGTGTCACAATTGCTTCTATGTTTCCCAAGTTCATCACTCCGTTACTAAATTATAGTTCCTCCAAATTTTGTGAAGAAAACATAGATATTTTGAAATATTAGATTTCAGTTCTTGAGGTTAAAAGAAAAAGATGCTTATCGGGGGATACCTGGGTATTTGCTTGGCTTCAGAATATGCTACTCAACTCTTCTCCACCTCATGATCAATTCTATTTCCTTCTTTTCGTAACCTTCAGAAAAAGCACCCATAGCTCTCTATAAATGGATATTTGGGCCATTTGATGAAAAATATCTGAATATAAGATACAAAATATGTATGAAAGAAGAAATGGTATATAATTAGGAGCATAATCCTCTTCTTCATCAAAAATCATGAATAACTTGATAGACTAAGCTATCTTTGTAATGAGCCTTAAAGGAAGTTCCCCCATCATTCATCACAAAATGCTACAATGCATTTTGGTTCAGATTGGCCCCGGCTTATTTTCTCTCCATCAGAATTGAGTCTATAGTAGGATTAGCAAAAAAGGTTCTCTCACCTGCCATTTCCAACTTATTTAGTAATTGCCTAGCAAAGGCTTTCAAAAACTTTGTCTTTCAGAAACAAGATAAAATTATGCTATTACCTAGTTAATATGAAGTGCTATGAATATAAAATAGTTTTGACATAGTACTAGTAAACATTAAAAATAGAAAATAAATATGGAAACACTGAGTAATGCTCAATATATAATAAATGAATAAATAATATTCCTCCTACCACATATTACCATGAGTCCCCTATATTTTCATTAAGATGCTACTCATCCTTCAGGTGTAAAATATTTCTATTTCTAAATAGGTCTTTCTTGAAAAGATCGAGCTTTCCTTCATTGATATGCTAGCTATCTCATACTAAGTTGTTGTTTTTTTCAGAAATTTTGAAATTAGTAGCATCCTTTAAATATCAGGGTCTAATCTATGGAACTTGGGAACCATACTAACTTGGAACTCCCTCAATTTTGCATTCATGGCTGATATAACTGGCACTTCCTCTTCTTTTTAGTTGAACATTTCAAGGTGTAATAGAGCTAAGCTGCAATATAACACATGGCCAGTAGGTGCTGCTGTCACACACTGGCTCACTAGTATAACTAAGTTTCTACTTTTACACCTTGGAGACCCCTTAGTGAGCCCAGAACCCTCCTTTTATTATAAAAAAAAAAAAAGGTTAACCAGAGGGGGAAAATTTTTCCCCCAATCTTATAATGGTATTAGTCTTTTTAATTCAACTATGAAAGGAATATTTGTAGCTCACCCCTAAAATATATTAATAGATTAAAGGCATATATAAAACTAGAAATAACAATTAGAGGCAAATCATTTTATCTAGCTACCAAAAAGTAGGTCAGATTTTGTGCTTAAAAATCAGCCAACAGCTAACTCCCTTTGCTTTTTGTAAAGTTAAAAGAAATAGGGGGGAGGGGGGAGGATGTAGAGAGTCAACTCTTTTCCATCTCCAAAAACAGCCACAGAGGGACAGAGTCTGGTGGTTGTCCTGGACCTGATTCTCCTTCCATTTTCCATATTGCAGCAGAACCCACACGGCAACCGACAACAAAGCGGAGAAAAAGGAAAAACTCCACCAGCAGCACATCCAACAGCAGCGCCGGGAACACTGCCAACAGCACCGGGAGCAAGAAGAAGACGCCGGCCGCCAACCTGAGTCTGTCCAGTCAGGTACCTGTAAGTCTCGCTTTCCTTTTAGGCCCAAAACCCTGCTTTTGCCTGTCTTCCGAGTCCAGGGGCCCTGGTTCAAGTCTCTTTTAGCTGCTTATACATCCTGAGCAGGCTGGGATGGGGGAGGGGAGGCAGGGCTGGGATTGAGATGGGAGGGAAGTTAAGTCTAGCCTGGAAACCTTCCCCTGCAAACGGGGAATTGGAAAGGCACATTAAGAGTCTGGGCTGCAGTGGGACCTGAATTAAAAAGCTGTCAGAGCCACAGACAGGAGATATGTCACTTAAGGTTTAATTAAAATATCACTTAGTGGGCAGGCCTGGTGGTGTGTAAGGGGCTCCCGGCACCATCACCAGAGACCCTGTGCTGCCCTGGAAAGCAGCGCCTGGCGCTCAGGCTTCTTGTTGTAATGTTACTGGGCCTCTCCGACATGTCCGCCCCTCTCATTCTGAGACCTTGGTCATTCATGCAGCCACTGAAAGGGCAGCTGAGTGGATCTCACTTGACCCATTTCCCTAGCCCATGGAGAGGTCAGCCCCTGATTTGGCCTCCATTCCCTTGACTTCTAGACCCCTGTCTTTCGTTTCTGGGTCTTGACAAAGGAAAGGGGCCACTTGGACGGGGGCTTCTTTGAACACCAAAGCTGATCGCTGAGGGGTGTTCCCAAATCCTGCCAGCTGTACAGGACCCTTCTCCATCTTCTATCATTTCCCTCCCACGTCTGTCCCTTCTGCTTAATTTCCTCCGAATTCCTCAGCCTGGTAGCATGAGATCATTTATCGCCGTTAAATGTACATGTTCCTTTATGCATGTGCTGCCCCTTCACCCCCACCATTCTGTGTGGGCTGTCTCCCTCTGCCCCCTGTGCCACATCACCCTCGGCAGAGGGTTGATTGTCAGTTGAGTCCCGACACTTTCTAGTGCTTCATGGACATCCTCTGGATACCATGCCTGCGGGAACATTCTCCATCTCTTACTACATCCCTCGACCAATACAAGTTTCTCTTTCCCTCTTCCTCGCTCCCCCCTCCCTCCTGGTCTGTTGTCCTCACGCTTCATGTCCTGAGAATAGGTCTTTCTTTCACAACAAATATCCGTTTCTAAATGTGCCCTTCAAACCTGCCCCCCACCCATTCTTACCCACCTGCCATCAGTCAGTTCTCTTTAGCTGAAACTAAGCCTATCACTACCTGAGAATTACCTGGGTGGCTGGGACCCCGCCCTCCTCCACACACAGAGGGTGTGGTTTGCATTCTTTAGAAGGAAAGGGTCCTAGAGGGAGTGGCCAGCTGTGGGGAAAGGACTGTTTTGATTTTTAGACAATGGTCCTTAAGTAATGGCAGCGTCACCTCTGGGCTTGGAGCTGAGCTATCGCCACCTAAAGAGTCAGGGGAGAAAATATCAAAGGAAAAAAGCAGTCTTTTTATGAAGGTACCAAAAATCGGTTCCCACTCCGGGTTAAATTGGAAAATGCATAGGGAAAATGGCCGGGTATAAATGAATCAAATATCCACATAAGTAGTTAACTTATTTATCTAATACTAGAGTTTTAGGAACTAACATTTGATAGTTTCCTCTAATAAATGAAAAGGTACAGTGACTGTAAGAATTCAGAGCAGTTCAACAAATAATATCTGAGCTCTTACTGTATGCTCCACACTATACTAAGTATTGACAATACCAAGATTAAAAGACAAACAAACAACAACAACAAAAACACAAAAAAATGGTCCTGTCATTAAAGAGCTCAACATCTAACTGAAGGATGGCCAACAGGTCCCCTCTCCCCTGCTCAGCCTCCTGGTGTCAGCTCACAGGGCACTGCATTGAGGGTTACGAGGCCGCGGGCTGGATTTGGTGAGCCATCCATAGGCTATAGCTTAGTGACATCCATCTGTATTTTGATGAATCTGGCCTAGTCAGAATCATTTCAACTTTACTTTAAAGAGCCCCTGGTTTATTTCGCTCCATCATGCTCCTGTCCTCCAATCAACAGCTGGATCTTAATGGAAGATACCAGTGTCCATAGGATTTTTAATGAGTTGAGACCCTTTGAGCTTGGTTGAGAGCAAAGCATGTATTGGAAAGTGAGGACAGGATTTCAGTATGATTCCCACACTACGCAATTAAGGATGTTTTAATTACGTAAAACTCACAGAAGGTCACAAGAGGCAGGGAAGGCAACCAGGTTAGGAAAAGGTGCAAACTTCGTGTGTATTCTAATAGATGTTACATGGTGAACATTGGCTTGTAGGGACCACGTCTCATAACCCTGTCTACCAAATCAGCAAGTTTTACTGCTTAGAAGCACAATCTGCAGACGTGGCAGCCTCGCCCAAAGGCACGAACAGATTCGGTGTGCCACCACGACCACAGCCGTGGTCCGTGTGGCTGCTGCGGCAGCAGCGGGCGTGTGGCGAGGACTAGGGTTTAATCCTTGGATTCTGCTTCTCACTCCATGAGCAGGGGCTAGGAGCCATCCCGAACTGCAGCCTCAACCCTGGGAGGGATGGAGACCTGTGTCATTCAACAGCAGTGACCCCTTCTGGCCAATTTAAGGAGAAGCATTGAGGGGCCCTGAAAGGAGTCACTTGCAGTCCTCCTCAGAGGTTGGTGGTCCTTGCACGGGGGATTGATTAGTGAGCAGATGTGACGTGGGCAAAAGCTGGTGGCACCTCCAGGCCTCGGGAGAGGAGCAGAGGTCTGCCTCGTGGGGAGCCGAGGGCATATGGGTGACTCTTAGCTGGACCAGTTCTGCCTCCCGGGGACACACAGATAGCAGAGATGGGAAGGAAATACAACTCTTGCTGAATGTCGGGGGGGATTTTTAAAGAGGTGGAGGGGGGAGGAGAATGATGCCAACATCCCCTAGTTTGAGGCCGCCCAGAACATGCCGAATGTCTCCATTTACTTTGCATGAGGATAACTGATCAGGATGGCTTGAGTAGAGAACCACTATCCTCGTGTAGAGGTTTAGAGAAGCCAGGGTGCAACATGTGCCTACGTGGCCCCTTCTAGAGCTTGCCGTCTATTCATATCACACACACACGTGCACGTGTGATCATGTATCCGGCTAAGGCTATTTCTTGCAATCAGTAAGGCAGCAGTGGCATCTCTGACATTTAGACCACTTAAAAATATCTGTGGCCGGGCATCTTTGCCAGCTGTTGTTCGAACAGAGATCCATCAAACATACTGCACGCCTCTATCAGCCCCATTTCAAGTGATTCAAATCACTATTTTCATAGTCCTTTTCTTGAATGGCTGTTATTTTCAGTTACAATGAAGGCATCTGGAGTGTTGGGAACTCTTTTCCTAATATCACGTTGAACTTGGCTTCTTATTTTTCTCTGCTTTTCCAGTTATGCTTTCTTACTCCCCGCTCCCCCCCGCCCCCCCAGCCTCTCTTGATAACCTCACACTCACAGTACTAATGCACACCCATGTGGTGGGTTCTAACATTTTTCTTTTGCCCAGTGACACCTCACACATGCATTTTGCAAGCCCTTCAAAGCGCGCTGCATGTGAAGTCGTGAAATGAGATTAGCCCTCATTTCGTTCTCTGCCTGGTCTTGCCCTATTCCCTCTACCATTCTCCTGATCATAAGTGCCTTTTCCTAACTGCCTGTAACTAAGTGGCATCTTTTCATCCTGAACACCTCCAGTGGGTCGTCTGGCAGCTGCCCTGGCTAACCAGATAACGTTGTCACCTAAAACCGTGTCAGCTTTCTTGCCAATCTCACTCTGTGTCTTTTTGGGTCCCACCTCAAGAGTCCTCCTGAGTCTCCAAACATGTCGGTATAGTGCCATAAGTATGTCCTTGGAAGCGCACACTTGATTATCCTGCCAGAACCTACATGGCTGTGTGTACCCAGTGTATACTTTAGACATTTCTCTTTATAATCATTCTTATCAAATCACGGGAGTGATTGGCCAGAAAACACAGTGTAGAAGCCCATTGATTATCTCCCCATAGTTCTGGGGCAGTCAACCCATCAATCAAACAAGATCTTCCATTCCAAGATAATCCAGGGGTAATTAAGGGATTTGTTTCATTGGCATCTTCAGCAATCTGAGCCTTCCCCTACACCTTCCCCTGGCCTGATAGGCAATATTCTACTGACCTGCCCAGGAAAGCCCTCTCTTGCTTCAGTGAAGAGAAACGTTGCCCAGTTGTCAAGGCATTTCATCAAACAGACCTCCGTTTCCCTCTCAAGGAATGCACCCTGATATCTCAAAAGCATCTGGCCCAGTCCTGCCTTTCCCGGCCTCTTGGAAACTGACAGCAGCTGGAGTCACTGCCCTTTTAAGGAGACTATTGCTCAGAGCCTGCCCAGCAGTCCCCCTCTGGCGTTGTCCCGTCCCATGGCCAGGTCACCCACCAGCCCCAGAGGGTCCCCTTTGAACAAAGAGGCTGGAACTGTGCCCGATGCATGTGCCCTTCGCCCCACCTTTGTGCCTCTCCATCAGCGGTCTCCATGATGCCCCTGGCTGCAGTAGGTGGCTCCCTTGTCTGCATGGAAGGACAATTGGTACTTAAAGGAGGGATTCCATGGAGCCTTCCTGCACGCTCCCATTGCTGATGATGACCAGCTTCATCAGTGTAATTGCAATTAGCACTCTTCATCTTCCTTGTATGGCACCAGCTGGCCAGAGCGGTTCTCTTCACTGCCCAGATTGGTGGCAGAGTTGCCTGTGCAGGGATAGGTGACAGGCACCATGAAATAACAGATGGTAAATTCGGGGCTGGTTGGCAATCAGCAAGTTTTTGCTAATGACTTAATTAGCTATGCAAATTGTCAAATCAGTGTGAACATTGTTTTTATCGAAAACTTTACCTAAATTAATTACCATAATTAAGTAGCAGAATGTCAAGGATATTGGCTGCATTCAAAGGACCTGGCTGAGTAGAGAAAAGAGAGATTCCATCTCCCATGAAAGCATACACAGTCCTCAGGAATAGGTTGGGTGACTATTGCAGAATTGCATCCGACCCATGCTCCCGCCAAATTTCCAAAAGGCCTCCTTCAGAGGCCCTGAGCAGAAGTGGAGGATTTTCCGAGGTACCGACCCTGCAGAAGGTTCCACCGCCCTCTCAAAAGTCCCCAGCGTCAGCAAGTGAAAAGCGTGGATTTTTTTAATTTTGAAAAATCCATTTTTTTATTTCTGCAGATTGCTAGCATTGCTCGCTCTCCGGTGTCAGGCTGCGCACTAAGGACATAAACTCGCGTGGTTGTTACACATCAGGAGGCGATGTTAATTTCCTGTAGAGATCAGATATGCACCTCGGCCCCCCGACACTGAGACCTGACCCCCATTGTGTACAGCCCACCAGTGTGTCTGTCCCAGGTCCCCCAGCTCCTCCCGCTAGTGTCTTAGGCTGAGCTTCTCTCCCCCAAGGTTTCCCTGTAATAATGTCAGCTGCTGTTCACAGGATGTGATGGTGGTAGGAGAGCCAACTCTGATGGGAGGTGAGTTTGGGGACGAGGACGAAAGGCTAATCACTAGATTAGAAAACACGCAGTATGATGCGGCCAACGGCATGGACGACGAGGAAGACTTCAACAATTCGCCTGCCCTGGGAAACAGCAGCCCGTGGAACAGTAAGCCTCCTGGCACTCAAGAGACCAAATCAGAAAACCCCCCGCCCCAGGCTTCCCAGTAAGGCTGACCTGACCGGCCCTGGATCCGCCGTCCATAGGCCCGTGGGTGACACTCGCTGTGTCAGATCACTATTCACAGGAGAGGAAGGAGGAGATATAACAAACATTCTCACGCCAATTCCTATTTCTCAACCACAATGATCTGAGTTGCTTTCTTTTCCTTTTGCCTTTTGTTTCTTTTGTAACTGAGAGGATTGTTCCAAATAAAAGTCCATGACCCTCCCCCGGAGGCCTTCACGGGTAACATAGATACTGGCACTGATCGTACTTAATGCAAGAGCAGACGCTAATGCTTCTCCCGGCACGGTGTCCACCACGTGTTTGTTCGTTTCCTTTTCCCCCCCACCCCCGCATCAGACGAAGGCCACCTCGTCAATATGCCCTCAGTGCTCAGGATCCCGTTATATGCCGAACCGAACCACAGATGACTTTTTACTATTGTAAAATATTTTCTGCTTTTTGACTTGCATCTGAGAGTTTCTTGTTTCAGTAAAAAAATAAAAGAAAAGAAAAATACCCACTTTGGGAAAATGATTTAAATGTACCTTTTTGGTGTGTTTTTTCCTTCACTTTTTCTTTCATTGGGTAACAGCCAAGAGGGCCCAGCAGTATAATTGCTGGGCGAGCTAATGCCAATGGGTTCTCCAGCCCATGTTGGTGCAACTGAGCCCGAGTTGGTGCAATTGAGCCTGAGTGCTGAAACAAGAAATGTCTTTGTGTCATCGAAGTCACCAAGCAGATTTTTATGTAAGAACGACACTTGGCCCCTTGAGAATGTATGCATTTGTAAAATTGCTGTTGATCCAAATATTTTCAAGCCATGTAATCCATTTCTTTTGTGTGCAGTTTAATAAATCTGAAACTCCTTTGTGTTTGTTTTTTTTTTATTGTATCTGCGTTGTCCGTTGTTTCTTTTCATCATATATTGCTTGTATAATAATTTGTAAAGCCCTCGCCTGGTTCTTTTATGGGTTTTTCTTTCTTTTTTTTCCCCTTTGGGGGCAATGCCAGTGTATTTATGTGAAACTTTATAAGAGAACTAATTTTTCCATTTGCATATTAATATGTTCCTCTACACATGTAAAGACACAGTGGCTCCGTGTGTTATAAAACAGCTGTATTTTATGTATGCTTTACTGATAAGTGTGCCAATAATAAACTGTGTTAATGACCAGTGTGATGAGTCTAGCTGTTTCTGAGTTGGTCAGAGGAGTCTGCCCACAATTTTGAGAAGCACTGAGCTGTGTTCATCACCCAAGCTCCGCATGGAGTGGAGTTAGAAAACCCGTGCCATCTTGGATAAAGTCTGTTTGTTTGTTTTTTCCCTGCCCACTGCATTGGGAACATGCAAGAGTGCTTTTCAGTGTGGGGCACTGTGCCACTGAGGGCACACCAATGAGAATGGAAGGGCCGGCTTGTGCCCCTGGAGGGGCCCAATGGAAGGGCAGTGGCTTCCAGAGGCGGAGCGCTTACCCTGAACTCAACAACCAACCCTATTTCAGCTAATCCTCCCAACTCCACAAAAAGGCATGAATATTCCCCTTTTTCCTAAAAGACTTGCTACGCAGACAATATGGAAAATGTACTGGAGGACATTTTTGTTAAAAGAGCTTTCCTCGTATTTTCCACTTTGTACCAATGAGGAAGATGAGAGAAGAAGCCTATTAGTATTTATTGGCTGTGTATTGAGTTCCAGGCGGTTTTAATTGATCATTCCTGAATTCTGGAGAGGGGGTATTGGAAAATACAAGTGAAGGGAAGGTGTGTGTCTTGGGCTGGTATTTCCAAAAACAGAGCCTGAGACCAGGATTCTGGGGTATGAGACTTACTGAGAGCTTGTTCTTCAGGGAGAAAAATATTTAAGGGAGTTAAGGGGGCAGAGTAAAGAAGGAGAAGGAGCCTAGAAAAGCTGTGGACTCGGGTAGTCTTCTGCCTGGGCCATAGGGGCAGGGCTAGGAGCATAGACCTCACTGCAGAGGTACTGCCTCCTGAGCGAGCCAGCAGACTCTTGTGACTCTGGACCAGTCAGTCCCTGGCTGGGCCATCCCCAGAGTGTGGGGGATTGTGCATTTCTGCAGAGAGAAGGCCAACGAGGAGGCAACAGTCATAGCATTTCAGAGAAGCTGGTCCCACAGAGGGCATCTGGGTGGGACACAGTCTATCCCATTGGGTGACTTACCCCTTCTCATAGCTCATGGGCAACACAGTTGGGGCTTTAGTTTGGATCTCCCTTGACAACAAAGCCTGGATTCCTTCTAGAACATCACACTGCTTCCTAAGGAAAATGTATGGTAAATAGCAACAGTGCCAAAGGAAACAGGGAAACTGCTACCCACTTGGAAGAGAATTTCCAATTTATCCCCAACCCCACCTCACCATTTTAGATTTTCTTTGATCAATTCTTTAAAGTTACCATATGCAGTCACTGCAGAGATACCTAGGGCAATGTGTTTGACACCTGTTTCCATTACCCATTGTTGCATAGCATAACTATCCCACAGTTAGAGACTCAGGAGGACAGTTTATTATTATCAGTTACCCTTCAGAGAGTTCATTAGTCTCTGCTCTTCGGGGCTCAGATGCTGCTGGGGATGAAGTCCTCAGAGGTGTAACTGGGCTGAACATCCATGGTGGTGGTGCACTCGCTTTGTTGGCTGTTGGGCAGGAGCTTAACCAAGGCCATGGACCACAGTGCCTTCCCATAGCTTCTCTGTGGGCCTCTCCCAGAATGAGGGGTGGGTTCTGAGAGGGAATGTTCTAAGAGCCAGCATCCTGGGGGCGGAGAGACCTAACTTGCCAGTGCCTGGACCTAATGCAGTGTCACTGTGTCTCGGTGCTGTCGATCAAAGCAGCCTGCATTCAAGGCCCAGAGGCATGGACTCCTCCTTGATGGTCAAGTAGCATAATGCCTAGCAAGGGGAGGAATTGTGGTGGCCACCTTTGGAAACAAACGTCTACAAAATCCAACCAAGTCTACATCTGGTCCTTGCCCTCCGCAGTTGGATCTTTAGTCCCTGGAACCTGATTCTCCATCTACCTAAATTCCTGCTCATGTTCTGAACATGCCAAGCGCTCACATCACATGTGTCTTTGCATGTTTTTCCCCCCTATTGGAATGTTGACCGCACCTTCGTACATAACCAAAGCTACTCATTTAACAGCTCCCCTTGATTCTCACATACCCTAAGGCACATGTGTCAAACACAAGGCCCGAGGGCCAAATCCGTCCCGCCAGGCCTTGCAATGTGGCCCGCACCGCGCTGTCATCACTGCACTCCGCTGCGTTTCCATCACAATGACAGTTTATGACTGTTCAGTAAACCATTCGGCCCGCGATTTAGGCTGGATTTTAGATTTTGGCCCCTTCTCTGATTGAGTTCAACACCCCTAAGCCTCCCCAGCTCTGATCAGAGTCCATTCTCTGAGGCCTAAGACCACTTAGTTCTTGTTTCTACCTTAGCACTTTCCTTACAAGTTATTGTTGATTATCCCTCACTGTCTCACTAGAATTTTCTCAGTGTGAGCAATCTAATCATTTCCACTGTAACTTCCATATCTAAATTCTATCTGTCATGCATGTTGGTAGAATACAGTGAGAAACTCCCAAATAAGAAAACATAAAACCACTGTTTACCACTCATTGTCCTGTTACAAACAGTGTGTAATGCTATGGCACAACACAGGTGACGGTTATCCCTGTATGTAAATAATAAGGTGAGTGATGGATGTATTTAAGTTTCTCAGAAGTCAAATCAGCACAAAACAAACATCTTACAAACATTGGCCTAAGCCTAACTCCTACTATAGAAACCCCAGGAGATGCGTCAGACCCAGAATAATCCTAAGGGCAACCATTTATTACGTGCACATTATATGTCAGTCACTTGCTAGGTGCTTTACCTAGATGGTCTCAAACTTGGAAACCAAGGGTGGCATATGAGTTGGGTTTTGCTTTGTGACGCTCTAAATCCTAGCAGCCTATGACAGCGAACATTTTCTTTTCCTCACTCATGGGACTGTGGGTCACCAGGGGCAACTCTGCTTCAGATCTGTCCCTTGGATCTCTTTCTGGAATGGTGGCTCTTCAGGGCATGCTCTTCTCTTGGCAGATTCTGGGGAAGTGAAAGGTGATAAGTCAAATCACATATGCACATCTACTTATGCTACATGCATTGGCCAAAGAAGTCACAAGAACAAACCCAACTTCAGTGGAGTGTTGCGTGGCAAAAGGTATGAGAAAACAACTGCGAATTGACCTATCACAGTGATCTACACACTGTTACCTGAAAAACTTCTAATGGTTTGCCAGTATTTAAAAACTGATTCATTTCCTATGAAAATTAAAATTTCTTGTTTCTCTTACAAACAAACCAAATATGCCCAACAATAGACTCACGTATCTAGATCCCTGGATGGTAACAGTTGGCTGGCACAGTCATAACTATCCTGCTTAGTTGTTTAATCTTTCACTCACTTTACCTGTGCTGCTGCTGCCAGCTACTGTATATGTTATACACTTGCTTATTATGCCTTAAAACTACATTTGGAAGTCAGAATCCTGGGCCCAACTTTACAGATGTGAAGACAAGCTTAAGCAGTTCATTGGCACTATCTGTCACATAGCTAACAAGTGGGGAAGTGGGCTTTGAACCTGTGTCCTCAGAGCCAAAACCTGTGCTCCTTTTACCAAACCACACTAGTTTAATAGACATCACAATGGTGGTGATTCTCCGTGGGTTAGGATAGAGACATAGCAAGCAGAATCCCATTGAATCTTTCAATATCGCAGTGGGCATATTAGTGATTATCCCCCACATTGCAGATGGGACTTGGTGCAGTTAAGCAGTTTACTCAAGGTCACAGAGCTCACAGCTGACATCATGTCACCTTGACTCCGATCCACTTTATTAGACTTACGGTCAGGTGCATGATTGGCAGGTCGGGTATCTGGAGGTGTTCTCTGAACTACAAGCTGGTCCTGGCATCCACCTACCTGCCATTCACACAATATGTATTTTCAGGGGCTGTCACAGAGTAGTCCAAAAATCAAGATGTGCCACTTACCTGGTAATGAAATAGAACAGGAAGACCCCCTCTAGGATCTTGAAATCTCACGGGCATTCAACAAGGGATTTCTAAATAAGTGGCCCAGTCCCTGCAGAAAATTCTTTCTCTTTCCACTTCTCTTTACCCTTGAGGTAAACATTTAATGCAATAGGATAACAACCCAGACTGGTATTACATGGGGTGGGATGCAGTGGGAACAAGGCCAACAAGATTTCAATTTTTCTAAAGCAGAATTGGTAGCATCCTTGGGAAATTCATTTTATAGACCTCCTTTGTCTTCCATTAAAGAACAAAAAGCAAAACAAACCAAAACAAAACAAAAAACAATTACTAGGATTTTTTTTTCCTGATTGTTAAATAGTACATACATTGTAGATCTATGTCTTTGAAAAAACAGGAACAAGAAGGAAATAAATTCTACTACCCTGAAATAAAACACTGCTAGTATACTGACGCATATCCCTCTCATATTTTTTCTTGGCTCATATACATTACATGTTGGTAATATACAGACTAGGCAGTTATATATCCTGTTCTTTTATAGAATGTATCATGAGCTATTTTGTTAACTATTCTTTAAAATTATGATTTTAATTTCCATATAATCATTCACTAATAGAATACACCATAATGTATTAAGCCATTTATTTATAGCTGATCAACTCCCTTTTGTACATACCATTAGAATTTCATAATCATTGATAAGCTGGTCAAAGGTTGATAGCAGTTTGTTAAAGCAAAATTCACTTTTGGGAAATTTGCCATGTGCCCAGCCCTACCCTGAGCATTATAAGAGATTTCTGTACCTAGTCCCACCCTCAAGGTGTGTACAATGCATTCAGGAAAGAGGATAAATGCATAAAATGCCATCCAAGTATATAATGCTAAATGTACTCAAAGGGTCATGAAGCATAGGGAATAAAAGCTTCATGAGCCAAAACCGGTTTGGCTCAGTGGATAGAGCCTGCGAACTGAAAAGTCCCAGGTTCAATTATGGTCAAGGGCATGTACCATCCCCAGTAGGGGGTTTGCAAGAATCAGCTGATTAATGTTTCTCTCACATAAATGTTTCTAGCTCTCTATCCCTCTCTCTTCCTCTCTGTAAAA